CACAATGATGATTTAAAAACTTAGTATATTTGTTACTTTCTCTTCTGCCTGGTCTGGTGGAAGTCTGTTCCTTTCGTATGTTTCTCATACTGTTTATGACTCCCAGTGGAGTTAGTACAGAACTCTATAATGGCATTTCTGGACTTTGTCTTTTCTTATTTATTTAATTCAAAGAATAACTGTTTGAAAGCCTTTTTAGCAAAAGTTGAGATCTGAAGACTCAGAAGCAGCAGCTTGCCGCTAAATCCTTGTCCTGTGTAATACCACTGTTTTTATTTGGTCTGAAGACTAGCTTAAGTCTCTGGAAAATGTCTCAGCAATGATAGAAGGGGAGAGAATGTGGGAGTTTCTGTTGTAGGAGTTTACAGCCACCAAAACAGGTGGTATATGGTTATGTGCCATATAGTAATTGGTGAGATGGAGGGTATTAAACTAGTGAGGTGTCATCAAGGAGTAGAAGATAGTAAGTCAAGGATTATCCAGTTAGTTTGTATAATGCAGTGGTGACTGTTCTCTAATACAGAAGGTGGAGAACACAAATGGAGAATATTTCCTGTGAGAGGTAACTTTCATTGTTGGGTGGCAACTTAAGTGGGCTGAGTCATTAAAATAATATTCCCAGTTCTACAAGAGCAAAGTGAAGAGCGAAATAATGGTGATGATATTCAGAAGAGGGTGTGAGCATACTGAGAACATAGAGATGAAAGTCTGCATGGGAAACACAACCAAGAGAAAAGAATGAATGCTCCTAAAAAGGATACTTCACAGTCAAGTACAACATGACTTAAAGCTAAAGAAGAATAGGGACAACAACATATTTGATTCATACTATATTCAGTGATCTGAAAATCAAAATATAGAGTGATAAATAATTGAAGGTAAATATTCAAGAATTGTAGAGTAATGCATGCAGTGAGGAAAACGAAGTACAACAAAGTGATGCTCTGGTAAGCAAAAGGATAAGTGGAAGATCAAACCAAGAATTAGACAATGAGAGAATACACTTTCCTTGTGTGTTTCAGTTGAATGGTAAGGTCTTAACTTTGCAGGGAAATTTCAAAGAATACATTTGAATGTGATTTGGGAATTGACGCGTTAGAGACTTGGTTTCTGTTTTGTATTAGGATGGTAAACATAAATGAGCTGCTGGAATTCTTTCTAGTAATTGTCTCTGATTCTCTGGTTAAAAAGGTTTTAATTGTATGAGGATGTGATTTATTTTTTCCCACTGGGGTTCCTGCTGTTTCATTCAGTACGTGTCCATGATCTGAAGTAGTTCTCAGGACAAATTAGGGCTGTGTCTTTTAGGACAATAATGGCTTTTGAATAATATTTTATTGGCAGCAGAAGCTGGGCAACATAGAATGCAGCACGAGTAACTGGGGAATACGTCAGTAAAAGCATCTTCAATCCTTGGGTGTGCCACAGAAGTTAACATTCACCTGTTTAGGCTGTCTTCTTTCTAGAACCCTGATCTCTGGTTTGGGTTAAGTGTTTCAGTATTCAAGCTTGGAAATGAATGGAAAGTTAAGATTTAGGGTGCTTAACATCTATTTGGCCCAGTACTGTTTCCATTTAGATTAATGATTAATACATATTTATTCCAACCAGGTAAGATCTATGTTAATATTCCTAATGGATGGTATGCAACTCACAGAAAATAGAATTTAAAAAACCAGTGTGTGTAATTTCTGGTTAGTTTCAGGCTTTTCTTCTCTGGGAACAGTCAATGAAATGCTCCAGAATTACACATGACCTAGGTTGAGTCATGAGAAATAATGTATGGTTTGATGCTGGTCCTTTTTTATCGTCTTTCATACAGAGGTTTGTCATTAAGGCTCTTGAGATGATTTAAAAACTGTGCTTTACTGATGTTGCAGAAGTGGATTATTTCTGTCCTATAATGTTAGTGGGGAGAAAGGTGTAGGAAATGCACATTGAATGATATTGGGGGAAATAAATACTGCCCACCTAGATAATGTGTAATCATCATTCAGCCTTCCAAGATCCTTCCAAGTTTCACCATGCTCTGCTCACTATTGACTTTTTGCTATGCAGAAGAGTACATTTCCCACTCTGTAGTAGCTGTCTGAGTTTGGGCAGGTGGTACAAAGAAGGGATGATGCTGGCTTTGTAGCTTCCCTGAGTGCAGGTAGTGGAGATGAAACCTCACTGTGGTTCACAGGATGTAATTTATTGCCAATTGTCAGGAGTTTGGATTTCAGGAGTCCGTTTAGTAGTGAGCAATTTGTATTCATTAGCAGTGTTTAAATGACTGTAGGCTATTAGAGGTGGAGCACCACTCCTGCCACAGCATTTTTTCTGTTGTATAAACTTCCCTTTCTTGCGTAAGTACTAGAATTGCCAACTTTCAGATTTTTTGTTGTTGTTGCTTTTTGTCTGTGAAGCTTTTTAGAATAGCTGGGTTACTCTTCTCACTGTAAATATACGTTCTGAAGCCACTGAGCTCTCTTCACTTCCATGGGCTCTTGTCCTCTCTGGCACCCCTAGGAGATGTCAGGAGCTTCTTTCCTTCTGTGCATGCCCCTGCTCCATGCCCACAGCGAGCTGGGCCAACACTTATTTGGAAAATGTGTCTAGAGTCTGAACACACCTTCACTGTAATACTTCTGCATGGTGATCAGCAGAAATCCTCAGGTGCTCAGGAGATGGCTGAAGCTCTTTCTGTTCTAGCTGAGGAAGTTACAATGGCTTGCCATGATTCAGAGGAGATGCCTGTGATCTGTAGTCTGTGACTGCAGCTTCACCCCTGGGCCAGTGTAGTGGGCAGCTTACAGGTTTCTGCAGTTGTGGTACAGTAAATGGAATCTGTTGTCTGATAGTGACACAGGAGTTGCATCTTATACCAGCCATCAGCTTTCCATGGGTGCTCATACTGCATCTGCAAGGTTGCCCAATTAAAGAAGGGATAAATAGACCTAGTCATAAATGTATTATGTTGCAGCAATGCAATTAAAAAAAAATAAAATCAGTGCTTGAAGTAGTTACTCCTGAAACCAATTGCTTTAAAGAAGTTGTTCAGGGAAAAATTATACTCGACTGTTAAGTAACATAACTAACAGCAGGTCGTTTAAAAGCTAGAAATATCTGAGGCCTTAAGTAATAGTGACCACAGTATAATTACATTCCATACCCTCAGGGAGAAAAGATACAGAGAACTACATCAGAATTGCATGGAATTGAACGGAGATTTGTATTGAGTGAAATGCATTAACAAAGAGCTTTTGTTACAGTATTTTTACTTTTGTCCAACAAAGTAACATGATTATATATTTTATGGAAACTATTTAAGGTTATTGGCAGAAGTCATAAATAAATTGAATGAGTAAAATTTGAATCAGGACTATGGAAAAATATAAAGAACCAGCAGTCAGCGAGTTATGTACTTGGTGGGGCTTATGTTGCTAATCAAAATAAGGACTGATGATAGCATGCAGTGAGAGGGATAAATGCAGCTGAGGTGGATTTGCTGTTCAACACACTGAGACATATTGAAACTGTAATAATATTGAGGGAAACGTAACTATACTTAGAGATGAGTTTGAAGCTGATAAAACAGTATTCTGTCATGCGGTATTCTGTTGGGTTTTTTTCATATAAGTATACTACGTTACTAATTGTTTATTCAAAATATGGAAATTGCCATGCTCAAACAGAAATCACTGTTGTTAGAACTGAGGCTGACAGTGTAACCTAGTATGAAATAGATAAGTAAATATTACTTCACGAAGAAACGCTGCCATTACAAGAAATGAAGACGTGAACTGCATTCTGAAATAGTGTCCTAGCAAAGATGTAGAAGACAGCTGAGCTCTAACTGTGCTTGCATATTTTGAAATCTGTATGTTTCTAATGCTTGTTTTTCAAGGAAAAAAAATAGTGGAATTAAAACATTCCTGTAACTGTTTGTATATTTATCTTTGTTACCTTTGTGCAGGAATTAATGCTGTTAGCTGTTGTTGTGGTTTGAATTTTTGGAGCCATGCAATGGACTGTTAATCCAGTTGAATTTTTTGTAGCAGGAGCAAGACTTAATCTCTGTAATGCTAACAAGGTTGGGCTGCAGCTCTGTGGTTCACTTAAGTTTCATGCATTTCCTCCATTAGCCAGAGGGGATTGTCAAGTGGCAAAAAGACAGTGATGGATTAAAATACATATATATATATCACACAGTAACAAAAAATAAAAGTTCCGTATGTTGACTTGTGATACGTGGCTGGAGATTCAGACAATGTTCAGTTATTAAGCCATTGATGTGATGTATAGGTATTTTATTTGTTTATTCTGATTGAATTTAGGATCAAGTCTCAAGAACGTTCATTAATTGCTGTTGTGTTGTCATATTTTCAATTTTTGCTTTCACTGTTCAATTTACAGCGTGAAGTCAATGATATCAAGCTCAGGTAATGAGAGGATGACATAATCCACATGAAGGTGTAATGTAGATGCAAATACTGCTTTTAGTCCTGAGCAAGCCCACATCTTGACTGACCCCTTTGAGCCTTTGGTTTTCAAGAACCTTACTGACTGCAGTGCCACGTGATGCAGTTGTGTTAGCTCCGGTCTGAAAACCACTCGTGTCTCCAAATAGAGATCATGGAATATCTGTTATCATAGAAGGGGGAGGATCACTAGTAGTGGCCATAGAAGTGAAAGACAGACTTAATTTGATTTTACAGATGCAATTAAAACCATTTATTGACTGCAGACATGATACAAGTCCTGCATTGCTTTTTAGTTGCTGCTGTATCACATGTATTCAATTTTGAAGAGTGAATTTCGCTAATTTCTATTCAGATCGTTATACCTGTTTCTTCAAAAGAACACGTGTTCAAAGTGTTTCTACTATCATTGCATTATATGGTCTTTCATGTGTGTTACTGAGCTGAACGTTTAGCAGCAGCAGGACTTTGATATTGATATTTTGATATAAAAACATGAGTTATGTTGATTTCTTTTGTTCCTTTATTACACTACAGGTACTGTAAGAATTGAAATGTTCAGGAACATGCAAAATGCAGAAATAATAAGGAAAATGACAGAAGAATTTGATGAGGTATGGTATAGAGATATTATACAGTTGTTTTAGTGTATATTCTACGAATAGTATACAAACATCAAATAGCTTTAAGCATTATGAAATACGTTACAGTATGCTTTGGTTGTAAAACAAAAATGCAGCGGGCAAGAAACCAGTGGTAAGCAATGTTTCTGTATAAGAAATTGCACCAACAAGCAAAGCAGTAATTTGAACCGCAGGATGAAAATGGATGGGCCAATATTAGCTTTAGAAAGAATAATAATGGAAAAACAAAAATAATAAAATAAATTAAAAGGGTAGTTACAGTTATTTATCTTGAAAAGTCAGTGTTGTGGATTGAGTAGGACTTGGATGCTGAAATAAGAATAGTGAAAAGTTTGTTATCTGATGTGTTGAAAGGCTTAATTGTACTATCACAAAAATCATGGAGCGGGCTCCCATCTCATACTGTAAGAGAGCCTAGCCAAGTCTGTCTGTATGAAAGCTGCCTTGGGTCCATGCTGGTTCTTCATCTATCCGTATCCTAGGTATTAGAGCTGACTGTACCACAGAGATTAATAAGAAGAGGCAGTAGAAGAACTGTAGAAAGTTTTCTCATCCCACCTATATTTGTGCTGCTATACTGGATGCTGTAGTTCACTGCTTGAAACTGCCATCCTACAACAAAGAACTCTGCATTCCTGGGACAGGACTGTAGGCTTGGCGTTTGCACAATTTCTGTGTGCAAATTAATATTTTGTTCATTTGAATTGGCAGTTTAAACCAAATATTACGTTGACATAAAAGTTATGTTTTGTAGCAGTGTTACACAAGTAGTCTTTCAAAAGTTCTAAGCATTTTGTTTGAAACAAATGTTATCAAAAGAAAAATATTCCAAATCTTAATGATCTTGAGCTTTGAAATTTTCAAATTAGGGAGTGTGATGTCTCTTTGTTTGTTTGCTTTGAAACAGAACTCTTGTTTCTCTTAAATTAGGCATTCAAATGCTACTTGTTAAGATTTGTAGCACTGTAAAATTGTTAAGTATTTTAGCATTGTAGTGATAGAAATAGGGTCATTAAGACAACCTTACAATTGTCTTTTTCTAATATTTGCATACTTTTTTCTTTGTATTTGTTACCATTGTAATATGATTGTAATATCACAGTATTGAGTTTGAGTTCAGTTTGTGCAGTTTTGTTTTGTTTTTGCTGGAGTGGAGCATCTTCTGTTAAGTTCAGGTTAAAGGGTATTTGATTGCAAGCCTTCTCTGCTTAAGTTGCTGGCTTTGCCTGGATGGATAACAGAAGTGCTTGTTATTCATGAAAACACAGAATTAATAAGTAGAGATGGTTTTAACTTTGATGCTGCTGAGTTCCTGTCTTTGGGGAGAGGTCCAGGCTGGAACGCTAGTACCTTAACATTTTGAATAAATCTGGAATTGACTTACAAATCAGGTGACCAAGAAGTTTATGAATTTTCTAATAGGAGGGAGCAGTCTCACTGAGATGTAGTATTGTGAAATTAATCTTGGAAAGAAGTTAAGCATGAAAAAAATCCATTGCATCTCTCAGACGGTATGTTTAACCACAAGAAAAAGGAAAAGTTTATAAGATCAAAAAAGGGCAATATTAAGTTTCTGATAAGATCTCAGCTGCAAACTTGAGTAAAGCATATTTTGTGGGGAGAGGCAGCCAGATTAGAATATTCCACCTGGGGTGGAGGTGGAGGGTGGAAAATGGTGCAAATGTTCAGTCACACAAGACTTTCTTTAGGTTTTGACCTTAGATACCTCGAAATTTTCCTTTGTCATCCTTTACCTCCATTTCCTAACTCAGGACGTAAGGAAATGAATTGTCTGGATGCATATTTGGACTATGTATAGCTAATAAAGCAAGCATAGCACAGTTACAATCAAATCTCTTAAAAAGTGATATCATGCCTAAAAGGTTCTTTCTTTATTGAAGAATGAAGTTGTTGTTTGTTCTGCATTGTCTGGGAGAAAAATGCACCATGTAGCTTAGAAATTTGGTCCATGTTCACTGAGAGTATCATTTTCTTGTTCTTCAGGACAGTGGTGATTACCCCCTTACCATGCCTGGGCCACAGTGGAAGAAGTTTCGATCCAATTTTTGTGAGTTCATTGGAGTGCTCATTCGACAGTGTCAATATAGCATCATCTATGATGAGTACATGATGGACACGGTGATCTCTCTTCTGACTGGTTTGTCAGATTCCCAGGTCCGGGCTTTCAGGCACACCAGTACATTAGCTGGTAAGTGAAATGGTGCAAAGGGATGTTTTCAGAGAAGTTATTACTGTTTAGTTGCTTTGAGAATTACTGCTAATTTTGATACAGGTGGAATTTGACAAGCACTGAGAACTCTGGAAAGCTTGGTCAAATCCAAGCACCATGTGCATCGTAACTGTATTTAGTATGCACTTTTCTTTTTGAAAGAGAATATATCAGCCTCACAGGTTCCTGTCAAATTCAGGGGACTCTAGTGAATCCTTTGAATCAGAAGTGGCATACTTGTGTCTTGTATTTATTAACCATTTGTTGTATGCCTTAGTAATTTCTCATTTCAGAGTACAAACTGATTTTAAGTGTCAATAAAATTCTGTGCCTTCACTCTTGAGAAACATAATGTTGGGAATCTTGGACCAAAATTTTGTATCTCACTGGTTTCTACCTCTGGCCATCCTGCACTTCTCAACACATCTGCCTACATCTGAGTCAGACTGGTTAAATTATTAGACAGAAATATGCTTTATAGTGTATTTCATCTGACATTTGTTAGAAATCTCTGATAACATGGATGAATTGCTGTGTAGAAGTAGCTACATTTCTCCATTTGTAAATTAATACTACAATTCTTAGCTTAGATACAGATATCTAAAACTAGTTGCATCAGGTGTTGTTTTTCTACCAATCTCATGCTGAAATGCATCTTCTTGGAACACTGCTGAAAATCTGTGATAGAGACTGGATTCATCTCTGGCTGATACTGGACACTGATCTTGACTTGGTATTTGCAAAAGAGATCATGGAGAGAGAATAATGCTAATATATGCTCGGTATATGATGTACTCTGAAAGTAATGCCTCCTGTGTGTTTCCATGGAAACTGTAACATACAAAGGGCATGGTAACACTATTTGGTAGAGCAAATTCTCAACTAAAAAACACTGTTTTTCAACATAGTCACCACCATTAGCTGTGCATTTTTGCAAGTGATGAACAAGAGCCTGGATACCACACTTGTGCAAATGTGCAGCAGTGAAGGTGACTCATTGTCACTGCAGCCATTGCTGAAACACACCACCCACTACTCTGTGTTACATCCACTCTTTGGTCTCCAGAAACATTCAGCCAGTGTTGATGAATGTCACTGAGTGCCATTTTTTCCACATGGAGGAATTCACTTCCACTCCTTTATACACACTTCAGTGTCAGACTATTCTGTCAGACTGCCTCTCTGCTTCTGTCACACAGCAACAACATGTAGTGGGATGGGAAGACTCAACTTTTGCTGCCATACCACCAGTGTCCACCTCTGATGCCATAGGCCAACATTATAAAATGAGGCATTACTTCAGGGAGGGAAGATTTAGGTTGGATGTCAGGGGTAAGTTCTTTACAGAGAGAATGGAGAGGTGCTGGAACAGCTGCCCAGAGAGGCTGTGGATGCCCCATCCCTGGAGGTGTTCAAGGCCAGGTTGGATGGGGCCCTGAGCAGCCTGGTCTGGTATGAAATGTGGAGGTTGGTGGCCCTGCCTGTGGCAGGGGGTTGGAGCTTGATGATCGTTGAGGTCCCTTCCAACCATGGCCATTCTGTGATTCTGGAACAGCTCCAATAGTCTTAGTCTCTTAAATTGGTTGGTTCATCCTTATGTGGGCAAATGTTTGAAAAGTATGAGAGGTTTGACTGGAAAGAGGAAATGGCAGCATACATCAGAGATGCTATCCAAGAACCATGCTATGTAGAAGAAATAGTTGCTGTTCTGTAACCAGAAACTGCAAGCGAGGATGAGCAAATGCCAAGGCCTGTGTTTATCACAACTGGCTTCAGTTATTTAAGGCAGTGCTGGCTTCTTGCATGAGAGGCATGATCAGTTAATATGCCATACACTTACTTATTTTTATGTATCAACAAGCTATGGGAGCTTTGTTTTGATTCTGCACATTTCCCTTAGGCTAGTTTTTGCACGTTAGATTATACTGCTATCCTGCAAAGAAGAGGTCATTGTGGTGCTGTGAAGCTCAGTCTTGATAAGAAATTACGAAAATCTTTCAGAATTTCATTTATACTTTCTGAGGTCTTTGTTTTCAATTTTCCTTGTGCTGGGCAATTTGAATGAGAAATGATTATAGCAAGCAACTAAGGTAAGAAGTTTATGTGGGTACTTCCAGACTTACAGGCTTTAAGCAGTGGATAAGAGAGTTAACCATAAAAACAGTTTTACTTCTCCATTTGTATAATTGCTTGTTGATCTTGAGGACAGTGCTGCATATTTAGCCAGAGAGAATGCGACTGTTATTTTTTTTTTCCTGTTTTTAGTGTTGTAGGCTGATGTAACCATAAAGAACACGGGAAAGACACTTGCTAATGTATTTTTTAAAACTGAATTAAGACAGAAATATGTACGTTAATGATGTTGTATCCAGAAGGTTTGCAGATGTGAATAAGAGGGCACTTGAAGTTCTAATCATATATTTATACAATCATACACTTGCCTTTAAAGCAGGGTCAGATTATCTTTCAGAGATGCATTGCTGTGGTCCCCTGTAAATTCATTAATTTTCAGTGATTAAGAGTTACTCACGGTTAAGAGTTACACTTCACATGGAGGCATCTGTAATGATACTTCTCAGTAGAGAAATGCCTGTAACCCACAGTAAGTGGCATACAACTGATATACACTGATCCATGGATTCATATTCTTGCTCTATGATATTATGCACTTTGAACTTGCAGAAAGGGTAAATAACATTGCCTGGAGCTCAATTTGGTACATATACTCTGATTTCTGATCTTTAGGTCAGCCGAGTGACCCGGGTATTGCTTGGGTGGGAAGTGCCTATCCAGATGGTTCTGTATCAGGGTCAGGATGGTTATTTTCTGTGAGTATGGATCTGCTTGAGGCAATATTTTTGAGCTCTGACTGCGGGTTAAGAATCATGTTCTGTCTTTTGCTTTTGCAGCTATGAAGCTTATGACTGCTCTTGTGAATGTTGCCTTAAACCTGAGCATTCATCAGGATAATACACAGAGGCAGTACGAAGCTGAGAGAAACAAAATGATTGGCAAAAGAGCTAATGAAAGATTGGAGCTGCTGCTTCAGAAAAGAAAAGAGGCAAGTGGAAAGATGTTTTGTTTCCTGGCTCATGGGTATTCCCTCCTGCAGAAGGTCTGGGCTGATTTGTGACTTCAGTTGTGAGAAATGAGGGATTAGTTCTGCTATGGTGTTTGTGTGATCTCAAGCATGCTACAAGGGCCGCGCTTCTAAATTTGATATCACTGTGTACAGTTGAGTTTGTGTGCTGCTCTGCTTACACAAGATGATTTCTATTCTCTGTCTCATATATGTAACCAGGCGGGGAGAAAACCGGTCTCAGTTGTATACAGTAACCTCCTGCAGCTGTGCTGGTCTTAAAAAGTCTCTTGTAGTCCATCACTGTGCCTCCCATTTCCCCCATTAAGCACTGCAATTATTATGTAGTGTCGTCTTATCACTTCTTTTTGTAACTACTTTTGAAAGACACCAGTCAGGGCTGTAGTGCTTGGACTCTAGAAAGAGAAGCTAAGGAGACATTCAAGTCACCTTTAGGAAATCACACTGCCACTAGGTGATCAAAACCATTAGGAGGGTGCTGTAATCATCCCTAAATACAATACATCCTAGGAAATTCAGTTTTAGAGTTATATTAAAACAAACAAACAAACTAGAAATGATAAGAATCAGAATATGGATGTGGAAACAGCCAAAATCTGCAAAATTCATGACTTAGATTTAACTTTATTGTTTTTAATATATTAGTTTTGAATGCATTTCTTCCACCACTGTTTTACTCTGTGGGAAATCAGGGATGTCTGGGTTCCTGTGTATACCTTAGGTTCTTTTAAGTATAACTTTTGACTTGTAAATTATTGACTGTAAAGTTGAGCAATTTAATTATCCCCAGTCTTAGTCTGGGGGATAATTACAATTGCACGTTTTTAGTTGTATCTAAACTCTGTGATCCACAGCACAATTTTCTCTTGATTTTATAGTTCTTGAAAAATAATTAATAAAAGCAAGAATCACTTGTGCTGAAACTGAAAGGCAAACATTTGAAATGAAGCGTGTCAGTCTTAAAGCATCTCGGAAGCAATGTCACTTGGCTATAACAGCTGGGAAACAGTTTTTATCTCACATCTGTTGATTATTGCTTGAATTTTCCGGAGGACCAAGTAGCTATTTAGGCCCATGAATTTGATTCAGTATCTACCTCTGTGCCTGTAGACATCCTTTGTCCTTGTTCATCAAAGTTTCTTTTCAGTGACTTTTGGAGATGCAGCATGTAACTGCTCTGGGAAGATCTTGCAGCTTTGATGCACAGAGCAGTGAAAGCCTGAATGAAGAATAAGGTTAACTGTTTGGCAAACTTTACCTCTTAACATGTCTCTATTTTCTCTGCTCCTGATATCTAATAAAAATGTTGTATAGGAGCAAGCCAGAGAAGAGTGGTGATGACTGAGTATGTGTGGTAACAAACATAGGAGGGCAAATGGAATGAAAAGGAATCATTAGGTTTAGATGGCATAATGGCCCTGTGTGAAAATTCATAGCATAATGCTGTTTTTTTCCTGTGCTTAAATGTGCTGAATTTATAGTAGCATTTCTGTGCCAACACTTCCTTAGTAGATTCTTTTGATGCAGTGCCATCATAATAAAAACTCATAAGCACCTTCATCAGCATACGTTTATCCTCATGAAGTTATTCATGGGCAGTTTGCAATCTCAGTGTGGGAAATTAATTAGCAGTAGAAAAGATGGTATGCTTTCTCTGATGTGTTTCATTCTCATGTCGTTTTCTACATATCTGATGTGAAAGTAGGGCGTGAAGGTCTGTGCTTGTCAATGAGATTTTCAAACTGGATGAGGTTAGTAATATAAACTGCTACCAAAGAAATAGTTGTGCTTTAATTGCTGCCAGTAGTAATTCAAGCTTACACTTCTCATACATGTTTTTGAGTCTCCCCAAATGCTTGCAGAGTCAACAGGAGAATGTTTCCATTAGTTTTGCTTAAATTTGAGAGAGGTGATATTAAATTACCTTTGCATTGGCAAGAGCAAGAATTGTAAGGCATTTGTAATTCTCTCTCTGAATTAAGCATTCAAATTTAGGTACTTGATCTAGAAAAGCTGAAATTACAAAAACTAGTTGCTGTTATGGAGAAAATCCAAATCTGTGAAAGAGTTGCTAATGTTGATGCTGAAATACACCTGGCTATTGTATCTTTAAATGTTAGAACACAAGATTCTGCAGATGTTGGGCAGGTTGGGAATCTTCACTGACTGCCCCAGTCCCGATTCTGTAGAAGTTAACCTTATCTTAGTGATAAGTTACATGTTTGTAGGAGAGCATGCAAAAGTGGGCATTAATAGTGCTGATGCTGACTTTCATTTGTTTACACTAGTGCCTTACTATTATATAATCCTTTGTACTATGAAATTAATTCATTTCTCAAGTATTTGGTAGTTCAGTCAAGAAGCTTGCATGTACTTGAGTTTTCCCATTTGCAAAATTGAGGCTGCACCTCCCTACGTTTTAGAAACCTGTGAGGCTTCATTTACTGAATATTACAAGATCTTATCTGGAAGGTAGTGTAGAAATATTTATAAACATGGCTTGAAAAATATAAACCCTTAGGGGAAAGTGTTTCTGAGCCCATGCTATGCAAGAAGTCAAAACAGCTGATAATAATTGTGCCTCTGGCTTGAAGATATTTTCTATGTTAAATGTATATGTCCGTGATTACAGTTTGTATTATTTTGTGTGTATGTGCAGTCTGTTCTACCAAGGCTCAGTTGTGGTTTTTATACTGAAAATATGAAGATGTTTTAATTAACATTCATTGTTATATTATGCTTTGACATTCAAAAACACCTTGGTTGAGGAAAGGTGGCTTTGAGTGTTGTAGCAGTTCTACTCCAAAACTTGATTGTATAAAATTGGCATCTTGTTTATCAAAGCTGCATTTTGGTGTAATCAAGTCATCTTTACATCGGTTAGCACAAAAGCTGGTGGTATGAGAATACTTTAATTGATTCCAAGATGTTCTTTAAGGATTTATTAATGGGTCCATTGACACAAAGAAATCTTTCCATAGTACTTAATAAGTGCATTCGTATTAGAGAGGACCTATTAGGAAATTTTCTTAAAAAATCATTTCTGCCACTCAAAGTGCTGTTTTGGTTTGGTGGTTTGGTTTGGCTGTTCTGCAGTGTAAGATTTGGGACTGGTGTCAGCAGTGTTAAGTGCCCATGCTCTGACTCTGGAATGCTTCCTCAGTCAGACATTGGATTGCTGTGGGTGATGAAGTTAAGGCAGCTTACACTCATGCTTGAGACTGAGCACATGCTGAAGTACTTTCCTTACATAGGGTATCCAGTTTTTCAAGGGGGACTTCCGTGTCCATAACTGCTCAGTAACCAGCTTCATTTTTGAGCTGCCATTCTTACACAACTGCCTGTTTGATTGCTGTACTGCTGCCATTACTGAACATGTGGAGTCTACAGCCTGAATTTCTGTAGCAAAAAAAAAAGGGCGATGACCTCAAAGGACTAATTTGAAACTAAATTCATTGATGTTTGTAGTGAATGTTAACTTTCTTTTGTTAAGGTACTGTATACATATGTATGTGAATGCACACGATATAAGCTGGAAAAGTCAAAAATGATTAATCTACTAATACCTTTAATTAAGTGCTCTTTTGTGGTCTCCTAATGCTTCCCAGTAACTAATTGCAGAATATTAAATTATAATGAGCAGTGATCTTTTATTTACTTATTTTACAGCTACAAGAAAACCAAGATGAAATCGAAAATATGATGAACTCTATTTTTAAGGGCATATTTGTTCATAGATACCGGTAAGAAACTGTGTGCTACAGTATGCTTTGCTAGCAATGTGTAATCATAATTAATGCCAAAGACAATTTCTCTGATTTTTCTTCTCATGCTCTAGATGTCACAAAAGCAGTATCAAAATAATTGAAGTCCTTGAAGAAAATCTTAAGTGTTACCCCCTTAGAATTTGCACAGTAGATCTGTCCACAGAACTTTATTTTAATTCAGTAAAACAGCTTTAAAGAGTTGTGAAGACATGCCATCTCACTCCTTGTCTCCTAACAAGAGAAGTTGTCTGCAGTGGGAGCATAAGCATTGCATATCTTAAGAAAAATCACAACCACTGTATATCATAACAGGGCAGATTTGGTTGCTGGGTACCTCTGTCTTCCATTTCTTTTTGCATATCTTAAGTGTAAACAGCAAATTTCTGACATGTCCATAATATATGCATTACGCACAGCTATAAGTTTATTTTAGGCTTTTTTCCCTCTTCAAAAACTACATTAAGGCACTGAAAAACCTTAACTCCAGTTAGCGTGTAGTGTTTGCTTATTGTTTTGGATGTTTGCAACAAGAGCATTAACCAGTAATTGTAATGTTATCACATCACTTTTTTTTCTTTCAATAGCTGATATGCTCTGTCTTGTGAATAGAAAGGCACATCAAGTTATATTCAGGTGCATGTGTGTGTCCTGTTCATTTTAGCATTGCACAAACCAGTTGATATGGACTATTCTATGCTATTTTGGAGTATGGTTTATCAGAGCACATTAGTCTTTCAGGATAGGTTTAGGGTTGTTTTGCATTTGCAACTTATTGATGAAACCAGCTTTTTAAATGTTAATTGGCTTACTGCAGTCAAAAGATAAAATTCAACAATGCTTAACTATGTAATTAACCTTTTAGATTTAAATTCTGGATTAAAATATCAACTATGAAAACTTTCAGACAAAATGCAGAAAGCATGAAAAATGTAATTGAGAAAAAGTTTGGCACACAAAGAGGAACATACAGTTAAGGTGGATGGAGGGATAACTATAGTTATGAAGAAAAGTATGCAGGAAACATAGAAGAGGCCTGTCCTAAGAAATGTGCGATTGAGCAGCACAGTGGGATCTCTTCACATCAGTGCAGATCAACCGCGTTAAATTACCTTCAGCTTTGCTCTTCAGTAACCTCAGTTGCTGATCAAATGGACTAAGAAAGCCAGTAGGTGCAATGAGCAGCCATTCCAGCAAGAGCCTGAGGAGCACACCTGCCTCCACCTGACATATCCTAATTATCCATTGTAGACTCTTTGTTTCAGTGTCCTAAATACTCTTGACGTTAATCAAAATACTCGGATGCAATTTAGCATGAAATATATGTGCTCAGGTGCCACTCTCATTGACTTTTTCTCTGAACATCATTACTGGACAACTAGTACAGCCTATTTCCTAACAGTGTTTGCTATGGTTTGTCCTAAATTTTGTGGGCCTGCCCTGACAAACCAAGTTGCGTCATGGGAGCAGTGTTACTAAGAGTAGGAATATCTGTGTTAGGTATTCCTACAAAAAGGTGGAAGTTTCTTTTTGTTAATGCCATTACCTGAAAGATGGTGGCAGAATGGGAGGCTGGTGTGTGTTGAATTGTTGTGTCTCTCCAGCTACTTCGGGCTGTTCTGCTGGTTTTCCATGCCTCACGCGTGAATTTTTTCTCATGCACTGCTGTACTGAAGATTTTAACTTTTTATGATGATAAATCTATAATTACCTTGCTTTATTCTTTCTGTCTTCCTGTCAGTCTGTCTTTTTTTTCTTTCATGGGGTAAAAGTTTATAGTGCCTAGAGTTCCCTGAGAACTATTTGAATGGAGGATCAGCTTTTCACTGTCTGCCTAGAGAGGCTTGAATGCATTCTTATGAAAAAGATAAATGTTCCTGATATTGTCTGGCTGTGCTGCTTGATTAAATAGCTGTTGACAGTTGAGTTCTTCCTGAGCTTGCCGTAAAATCCTTCCAGAATGTTTCAGTTATCAAATTTATAAGGTGGTGAAATAACTTCTCTTCTCTGTTGCTGCATTCTCTGTAACAAATGCAATTTTCATAGTGCAAAGCCTTGGATGTAATAACTTATTTAGTACATTCTCCCTTAAAGCATTTAAAATCTGCTTGAGAATTCCCTGCTAGGAACAGCTTATTTAATGACTTATTTTGCTTTTAATGCAGCTTATCTATGCTGTAGATTGACTGTTACCTTCCAGTTTCAAAGGTTATAGCACAGCTGTCTTCAGGGAGCTTAGACAGACCAGTTACAGTGATTCTGTTTGGAAGTTGGCAGAAGCAGTTTGTTTCATGTTGCACAATGATAGTGATGTGGTGGCATGCCTAGAGATTTGCTAATAGCACTTGTGTAATCCTTAAATGCATGCTATAAGCTGTTATTGCAGTACAGCCTCCTCCCAGTGATATGACATAATGAGAAAAACTCGTACTTGGCAGCTGAAATGTATCTTCTAGTCGTGTGTGATACTGCCATTGTGTGACATGTCAGACAATCTGAATGAACTGTGATTTTTCACCTTGGTGTCTGGAAGATCATATAAAGTATGGCATACATGGAGCAGTGTGAAGATTGGAAGTACATAGGCAGATACAGTACAGGTAGTATAACAGTCTTGTTACGCTGTACTTTGTGAACTTAAAAGTACCTTAAGCATAAGTTTGAGAACACATTATTGACATTTCATGGAATTGAAGACTTCAGGAATAATACAATTGCTCTTACATAGCAATTATTCTCTTGCTTGAAGCTTGAAATGAATAGCTTTCATAAATTATATTTTGGTTTTGGGCTCTGGTGCTGCTTTAGAATGAAATCAGTGTTTATTACTTTTCCAAAAAGATTTTTTAAAAAAGCAAAACAAACACCAGAATGGGGTTCTCAGTTATAAGCAAGGCCAGCGTTTGCAAAGCACTGGGCACTCCCTTCTTCAGCACAGTAGCTCTGTACGTTACTCTTTTATTATAGCTGAAATTTGGAACTGTGAAACAGTGCCAGCTGGAATGGCACAAGCAATTTCTCATAGTAACAGATGTCTGAAAGATGAAATTACCAAAGGGCCAGATGGCCCCAATCCCTTTTCCTGTTGTTTGGCTGTCGTTCGTTATTAGTAAATATGCCATGCTCTGTGTCAATCAGGCAGGAAAATGCCAATCAGACTGAAATCATTTCCATCTCTGAACTCTTTAGGTGATTTCTCCAGACAGTTTCCTGCTGCCCTACCTCAATAAGCAGCTGATAAATCTGTCTGAGATGTGTCTTTGCCTCTTCCATCACTTGTCACAGTCAGAATGCAGAAAAACCAAGAAAAAATGGCAGAAATCAAGATTAAAATATGTACAGTTCTTCTAAGAAAATCTAGGTGGGCTTTTGTATGCTGGATGAAGCAAGTAATCAAATTCCATTCTCCCCACTTTGTTCGGGGTCCTTTGGTTACATCAGATAACTTTTCCTACCTGACATTCTGGATCTCTACCTGGAGAGTCAAGCCTCTTTAGGAAATCAGGGTGATAATGTTTCAGAAATTATTATTGAGAAGAGGTTTGTGGCACTTGGATTCGTAATTTTGCTTGAAGAGGAGAAGAAAGATTAATAGACAAAGAAGTCAACTAGAGTGAGAATTTTTTGAGATAATGGAAACATACCTGAATGTAAAGATACTGAGGTGATTAGGTAGGTCAGTGAGTGAGGATGGTGACCTAGTGAGGTTCATTAAATCCAAATGAAAGCAAAATATGGCTGGAGCAATGGGAATTAGAGCTAAATGGTATGTCTGTAATCTGTTGGTTTTTTTTCTTTTTTCTTACTAGTGATGCCATTGCTGAGATTAGAGCTGTCTGTATTGAAGAAATTGGTGTCTGGATGAAAATGTACAGTGATGCATTCCTGAATGATAGTTATTTAAAATACGTTGGTTGGACACTACATGACAGGGTAAGTATTTTGTATTACTGTACACAGCAGAGCATACTGCCTTCCACTGCCTAACACATGTTTAGTGTATCATCTTTGATTTATAAAAAGGTAGTTCATTTTTGTTGTTGGTCATTTGTCTTTCAACCAGCATCTTTTAATATGTTCACTTAAGTCAGGGTACAGTCATCCTGAATCATATGCTTGTGTAGTTTTTATTTTTCAGTCTGAATTAGACTGTCTTAATAGATTTTTTTCCATGCTGCTTTTCTTCTTATTAAAGACATCTTGTCACTCATTCCTCAGAACCTTTGCATCTGAAGCAGAATGAAAAAGGATTTTCCAGATGACTCTTCCATTAACATTAACCAGTAGTTAAAGAAACTCAGAAATCTCTGGGTCCCAGAATTAACCCAACAGTGGCATTCCTAGTAAATCACCCTTTACTATTTTAGGCTTTTAGGTATTTCAGCTACAACCACCTTTAAAGGGCATTTTTCTGCCATTGAAGCATTCTTCAATTCTACCTGGGAGGACTTTTTGAAGTCTATCTCTTTGTGCCAGCTTAGAAGAGCTCAGGGGGTTGCTTGAGTTAATCTTGGAATACCTTTCTTGCATGAGAGATTCTTCAAGATAGCTTTGTATTTAAAAAAAAAAAAAAAAAAAGAATTGAAAGATTTGGTCAAAATGAAAAATATATAGATCTGGAGGTTCTTTCCTAACTAACTGCTGTTCTTTTGTACTGAAAGTATGAACAAAATGCTTCTTGTTGATGCAAGGTACCACCTGATTCCTGCAAGAGCAGCACTTTCCCAATGCTAGTAGAACAGGACTTTAAACTGCTGTATGTTTTTTTCCTGCAAATGGGACTAGACATCCTCCCACTCTCACTCAAACCACTACAAATAGTTGTTTTACACTAAACTGTTTTGCTTGCAGTGTCCAAGAAAAACAGATGAGACCTACATATAGTGTTGAAATGCTCATTAAATCCTGGCATCATGGTTTAGACTACTCTTTTTTTTTTCCATAGAAGAGCTGCTGGAAAAAATTCAAAGTTTGCAAATGTGTTCTGTCTCACATAGCAAGTAGTTGACATGTTCCTTTAAAAAGGTGACTTCTTCAGTAACTCTGTACAGTTTATTAATGTTAAGGATATTACTTCAACCCTCTTCATGCTTCTTCAATAAGAGAAAGAGGTTGTGCTACTGATTATTCTTTTGCTGACAGGAATCTGCATCTCCTCTTGAGTTGGACCAGCAGTGTACTTGTTAAGAGTAGCCTTTGGAGCTTGGAGACATCAGACAGGCAGTGGCTTTCCCCTCTAAATGTGCAGTTTCCAAACTGTACTCTAGTGACACTATACTACATTTGTGTCTGCATGCCTAAAATCGGCAGTGGCATCTCTGGAACACGCTCAAATCTGAGCAAAACATTTTCTTTGTAGCACTTCCAGTGGTAGTGCTGCGCTTCACAGCTCCCAATCCCTTCTAGTATCTGTGAAGTCCAGCAATTTCTCACATAACTCCCTTTAACCATCTGAAATCTAGCCATTCCTCCAGGCGCTGTCTCTGACTCGTGTTAACTTCTCACAGTGTGATCTGTTGCATCCAGCATTTTCTTGTGTTGTGTCCAGAAGATTGTCACATCCTTCAGTTAGCTTAACTTCAGGCCAGGATCTAGGCATGTGACTGAAAAATGAACATATTTTACCTCTGGTATCTCAAAATTAGCACATCATTTCATATTAGACAAATTCTGAATTACAACGTTGCATTTTAAAAAAATAACAACCAAAAAAAAAGCAGGAGGGGATTCCATCTGGACCAAGTACAGAGGAGCATCATCAAATTGCTCTTCCAGTTCTACTGATTTCTAGTAGTTGTGGTTGCAGGCCTCCAAAAACGCTTGGGTTTTCTACTAGCTACTCAGACTGTTTATATCCCTATGTACATGCTAGGCAGTGTTTTTTATTGATGTAGTGTATGATTACTGTATTGGAGGAGGCTGGCTGAAAGTAGAATGGAAGTGTCAGAGGTAGCTGAAACTCGCTCGTACCAAGAGATAAAAAGTGAGTAAAGATGGAGACATTGAGGAGGGAAGTGCAAAGGGAAGCACTTATTTTAAAATAAATAAATAAAATTGAATAGAAAAGAGTTAAAAAATGCAGGTTTTCCAAAAGCACAAGATCTCTCAATAGCCTGGTTTTCATTGTCATTGCCTGAAAGATTTAGTTGTAATTTGGAAAGTTTTGGCAGTGTTAATCCTCTGGATTTCAAATGAGCATCTGTAGGGGGGGGTTCTAATTCTGCAGTTCTCTCCTTTTAGGCTACTTTTTCCTTGTTGTGGATCTGGTAGCATGAGTTAAAAATAGATTAACCTGGAATATAGCTGCATTAAAAAATCATTTAATAAAAGGAGTTTATCTGTGCAGTCTTAATTTACTTCTGCTGAATTGATGCATGGAACTGTTCTGAAAACATAATTGTGTCTCTGGATGCTTAGACAGCCCTGGGTCTGGGGAAGCTGTATTAAAGAAAATGTTGACTAGAGCATGACTCACCCGTAGAAGTATGGAGTATCCCAAACTGCTGGCATTGGGGCAGATGTATTGCTTTTCACTTCATTAGCAGGGGGGACAATTTTGCTTTACTGTTAGAAGTGTCTAGAGGTTATTTAAAAAAGAATAAGGGAAATATGAGAAATGTCTGTTATTTAACAGTGTTGTTAAACACTTGATGTTTTTGGTTCAAGTACTAATTTCAAAGTGCAAATAAAAGTATTAACAATTACTAATGCGAAGATATTCATGAAAAATAATGTTAGATAATTATTTATGTATTTTTACTATCTTTCTTAAATTAAACAGCTTTGAGAGAAGGAGAATTACAGGAATAGTTTGACTGGAGAAAGAGACAAGCATAGAGCTGACAGCAGTGTGACCGAAGTCAGGATTCTGCAGTGCTCAGGTGTCCCAGAAATGGGATGGAGAGAAACACAGCAGTTTTTCTGGAAGAGGAAACTGAGGAAGGAAAGAAGATCGTAGCAGTTAGGATGCTGAGAATGCAGCTGTTTTGTCCATTGTTTACTTAGGAAATGACTTTTCTTTCAGACTTGTTTTTTCTGTATGTAAAGCATAGATGCTACTACACAAAAGTAGTTGAGAAGCTAAAGCTCATTTTATTTAGCGGGATTTACAGGTATGGTGTGATTGCAAATACTTCTTTTCTTAGGTTGACATAACCTTCAACTCAGAATTCAAGAAAATCTGCCTGAGAGCTAACCTGGGAAATAATCTTGCTTACTCCTCTCCTACTTACGGTGCAATAGATCTGTAATATTTCTCTAAAAATTTCCTAAAATGTCCAAACTGTTGGTTTTTCCTCATCTTTCTCTGGCAGCTTTTTTGAATGCTTGGCTGTGTATGTCACTAAATAGTTTTTCCTTGCAGAAGCTAAAGATTCTGTGTATAATTTTATTATTTCTTTTTCTACTTCACACTTAACAAAAAGAAAGTGGCTATTTCCTTCAAAGCAAAGTAACTTTGCTTTGTTGTGTTGTGAACATACTTACCGAATGCTTTCTTTCTTGCCTTTTCTGTCTAACCCTACTGTGCTTGGGCCTTTTTGCTTTCTTTCTTTCTTTCTTTCTTTCTTTCTTTTTTAAAAAATTTATCACTCTTGTGCTTGAGCTCCTAATGAGTTGTTTAGTTAAATAAGTTAATCTCTTGGTTACGTAAGACTCTTTCTGTCCTTGTCCAGCATCAGTGTGTTTGTACCTTTCCTTCATATTCTACTTCTTAGGAATTATTTGAACATGAATATTTCCACCCTTCCTAGGCTGGAAATTCTTGCTGTGTTTCTTTTCCAAAAAATATTTGGCATGTTAGAATCTCAAATTAATGCTCACTTTCTGTACTTGGAATGATTCTCATAGTTACACAGTAAACATCTTCTGTCGGGCATATTGATGGTTTGTGGATCATTTCCCCTCTTTCATTCTGGATTTCAGTGCAGTATCTGTGCATACAGCTTCACTTTTGCCTTTTTTACATTCTTGTCCAGGTCACTCCTATTTATGCTTAATCGTGGGATTCTGTCACTAATCTCCATGACTCTTTTAAAACCTTCGTAACAAGATTAGCAAACTGTTGTACTTCTTCCTCTCCAGAGTGATGAATTCCAACCGTGATCACCAGTTTAAAAACAGACCTTTCTGTTATAAGAGACAGTAAGTCCTCTTGCTGTTTGCCTGCTGAGAAGGGCAGTCATTAACAGAGGTTGCCTCTGTGTCTCCTGTGCATTTGCTCTCAGCCAAAGGGACCATGTATCTTTCTTTCTTCCACTTCTGCTCCCCTAGCTTTGCAGTCACTTGTCTTCTTCCTTGGATTTGGTTAGCAGCAGGAGTATAGATTAGCTGGCTTCATTGTGCCTTTGTTAATGTCTCAACTTCGGTCTCCTGGCAGACTATGCAAGTACCAAATGTTCACTGTTGCACTTCCTATCTCCTTTGGTTAGTCTGCTCCCCTAAGTCATATAGAGACCCTCTGTGTAAAGCCTGAACTAACCTCTGAGAGCCTGGTCTGTGGTGCTGGTGAAGTGAGCAGTCACATCACCACTGGCTATGCCAGTAGCTGCACTGCAAGCCTCAACTCTTGTTGCTGTGGCACTTATTTTTTCTGTCTTTGACCAGTTCAGAGCTTTGCATTTTGAGACTCCAGCACTCACTGAACATCAGGACATCTGCTTACAAGCAGGACAGTCTTCAGGGCAGCTGTAACTAGAGCAGCTGCCTTACTCTTGCTCTGTAATGTTCATTATGTGCCAAAACTGATACAGATCCTCTGCTGCTAAGTAAGCTAAGGCTGTAAGAAGCTTACATCCTCTTCTAATGATTAGTGATAACTCCAGAGATCCTGGCCTTTCAAAATGCCAGGATTTCACAGCTGAGGAAACACCAATTCTGGTATCTTGGCAATAAGTACCATTAAAAAAAAAGAATGACAAGCAGCATTTCTCTGTTTACTTATCAGTTGATGACATCCACATAAACTTTTTTCTTCAAGACAATTATTTTCTGTACCTTGAAAGATTTTGCAGTAGATCATATAAACAGAACTGTCATCCCATAGACTTACTCTGCAGTAGTTAAAAAAAAAATCTCTAGTAGAACATGAGTGCTTAGAAACTCTTCACAGAACTGGAGATGATTTGTCAGGAACAGTCGTTCTTCAATGAGAAGTTCTTCTGCAAATTCTCCTTTCAACTTTTTTCCCTCTTCAGTTGCAATTTTTGAAATTAGTGGAAACGGAAAAAAATGGATTTTTATCTTCTATTTGTACCTCTGCCTCTGAATGTTCACTCAGATTTTAGATTTTAAATACAGACTTGATTACAGAATAGGCTTAGAAACGAGAGTCAGGTTTGTGTAAATAACCTTTTGGCTACCTCCATATGTTTTTTGACAAGAACACGTCACTTACCAGGACTTTACAGATGAGCTGAGCTGTGTCTGCAGCCAGACAGAAAATGTGGACATCCACGTGGACAGCCCAGGGTACCCAGCCCTCCCCTTTATCTCCAGCATTCCTGACAAACCGTGATCCATAGGCACGATGTCTGTGTTTCCTGCCTACAGCCAACCAGATTGAAGCAGTCCCTATCAAAACTGTCACTAGGAGTGAGCTGCTGCCCAGAGGATGCCTCAGACAGCAAAACATGAGCTGCCGTCCTTCCTGGTGGCTCCTCAGGCTGTGGCTTAGATGCATTGTATTTGTGGTGGCAGCCTGCTCCCTCAGCCTGTGGGAGCTGAGGGAGCTTCATCCTTCCTGTGCACGGCCCATGATGGGCTTTAGAAAGTTGCAGAGAAAGAAGTCTGGTGTGTGTTTGTTATGCCTATTGTTTGGACAGACAGTGGCTTAGAGTTGACTTGTTTTTGTGTGCCACGTATAGACTATGCTCTGTCATTTTCAACTCTTGTACATTGATTTGAAACAACAGGTACTGGGAGGAAAACATATGTAGTCTGAAGATAAATTGCTGCACTGTCTTCTCACCAACTACATTGAAATCAGATGTCTTTATTTTCTATTTGTTTACAGCCTTTTTGGTCTTTTTGAACTGTGCAGTGACTTGAAAGGGAAACAGATACAGAAGTTGATGTGATGGCACATTAAATTCTTTGTGTATGCAAATAAAAAAATTAACTTTGCAGGCAGCTGCACACGTGGTTTTTGGTCTTTAGGTGAATTGCAACTTGGCTTTGGTAACACATTAGCATAAAATTTTAAATGAACGTTAAACAAATTACAGAATGATATTACTTGGTATTCATGTGGATTTGATTAGGATATTATATCAGCTAATCTTAATGTGTTTTATTTAGCAAGGTGAAGTGAGGTTGAAGTGTTTGAAAGCTCTCCAAAGTCTGTATACCAACAGAGAGTTATTTCCAAAACTGGAGCTGTTCACTAATAGATTCAAGGTAAGAGGAAGTACAATTTCTGGAAGGAGTACTTAAAATAATCATGTTATCTTTCTCACTGTGTTGTGGTCTTGACATATATATTAAATGCAAAACTGTTCCTGACTGCTGAGGTTAAGACAAATTAATTTTACAGTGTTTATCTTTTAAGATTTGTCTGACTTTGCCAAGGTGATTATTCATCTGTTTGTATTATTGCTCTTTATTCATTGTTGTTATTTAATCTGCCTGTGCTAATTTAATTTTAGTTTTGTTGAATTTCAAGGATTTGTACAGAGTGTTTCACACCTATAATAAATGTGAAAGTAACAAACTAAAAAAGCAATCTGTAGGACAGATTTTTTTGCTCGATTTGTGCTTGTGTTTGGAAGAAGTCTGATCTGCACCACAGTACATTGCAGAGCTAAATAGAACCTCTGTAATGGGAATTTGCATTGCATTTTTAGACAATTAGCTTGCCATGATTAGCCTGCATAGGAGATGAGTACTGGAAGAATATTTCCTTTTTTTCCCCCCTTTTCGTTTTTTCTTTTTTCATTTAAACTAGCACGAACACGCTGAGTTTTTGCTTAATATCTTAATGAGAATGTGGATGTTAATTCACTTTTTTGCATAACTGCTTTATTGCACGAGTGAATTATCTGGAGAGATGAGTTAGAAATGCTGTCACGGCTCCTGTTTGCATGCTCTGTGAAGAAAGCTTTGGAGCACCTACCATGTCAGCAGGCACCTTCTGCCATCACTTTTGTGTTTTGGAGAACAGAAAACAGTGGTAAAGAAACTACCAATGAAATTTATTTTTGTTTAAATCATGATTATAATGCTGTTTAGGAAAGAAGTGGATACTTAAATATTTATAAGTACTGTGCAGCAGACTGAAAAACTTCTCTCTGTTGATGTTATACTGCTTCACTGGTTGTGTTTGTCATTGCAGTTATAGTTAAATCCTCCACTTGGAACTAGAAAAGCACAAAATAGAGAAACATTGCCATATATTTATTATATATATATATAATTGTTATATATATATATAACAATGGTAATCTGCCTTTTGCCACATTGATTTGAGAGATGGAGAAGAAAAAAATGCTTACCTGCAGAAAAAAATACTTAACCTGCAGTTAAGTCTTGGATTTTAAGAAAGGCTTTTTGTCCAAACTGGTAGTTGTATAACAGCAGACTACTTGGGAAGCGATGGAATCTCCTTCATTTGAGGTTTTTAAGGGTGAGTTAAATAAATATCCATCAGGAATGAGCTAGGTATGACTTCAAAGTGGAAGATGAAATATATCATTTTGTATGTTCACTTCAGTGCTTGTATTCTTATAATTTCATAAAATTAGTTTCTGTGTCTGTTGCAGTAAAGACAAAATTTCCTCTCGTGGGTGACTTACCTGAGTAACAGACAGTAGAAGCTGCAGACCTCAGACTAATTTTTTAATGCCTGTATAAATCTTGTTTGCTTAAGATCTCAGGACAGCCAGAAATGATAGATAGCTCTCCAGAAAAATGCTAAATGCTGTTCTCAGTTCCATGGCTGCTTATGTGTGTTTTCTCATTAAAACTGAATCAAGCTGCACATTCAGCTGAGATTCAGCTTAATCAATTCAAGCCATCAATAGGAATCTCTCTCAAGATCTCCTGGCATAAGTTAATTTGTTCCAGAATTACTTGCATTGGGTTGTTAATATTGTAACATATTCTAGATATCTGTGGGAATGATGTAACGATGGCAGTTCTCAGACAGGAGGTAGATACATATTTTTTATGGCATTTCTGTGTTGCTAGGCATAGTTGATAAGCTCAAAAGTAAGCTTTGTCCACGCAGAAAACAAAACAGCTTTGTCCACATTCATCCATTCATCCATCAAAGACACTTTTGTTTTCTACCAGGAAGTCCTGTCTAATGCAAACATTAATTTCTACATAGAAAAGATATGGGTTAATTCTTTTACAGTCAGTAACAAAGTCAGCATCAGATTTAGCTGCAGCAGCTTAACTGCTGCCCCTCATCCCTGACTTTTGCAGAATGCTGTCTCCATGTCTTGAATGACAAGAGGTGGATTTACTCTTCAGCCTATCTTGTTCACAGTGATAATACATAATGCAAAGTGATCTTCACAGTGTAAATTAATATTTCAGGTTATAAATGCAGATGTGACCTATTCCACTGCATGGAAAATTTCTGTTGGAGAAGATTGAACAGCTGGGTTTTGTAACTTGCTAAACCTTTGAAATTTCATCTTCCAGTGACATTAGGTGCTAGGGTCTCAAAGGCTGTAGTATCTGTCTGACAGGTTCCATCACAGAGATTCAGGCAATAAGATAAGAAATATCATGTCTGTGCTGTTGATTCTCGGCCTGATGTTGTTGGTAAAATTGAGTGAATGGTCTTTTTGGATAAGGAAATATTGTCACATCAGTCCATTTCCAAGACTCCAGGATCAGGGAGTACGTTTTGCCCTATAGGCGGGCAAGAAGAGCCCTTCTCTCCCAGGCCTTCTTTAGAGATAGAAAAGGAGTTTTATACTTGTACTTGCTCTTTGTGTGTGGTTAGTTCTCTTCCAGACCAGTCCAGAACAGCATTCCAGTTTCAAAGTTTGCTTACTTGCTTCTTGGAAACCATACAAGAAGAAGGACTGCTTTCTTCAGTATTTATTCCATTCATGTGTACAAGCTTTCTAAGATGTACGTTTGATGATTGAGTGATATGAAAGGATTTTCACATGTGCTGCTGAAAGATCTTTCTCCTCAGGAGTATTTATGTCTGTGGACTTCTAAATCTGATAGCTCTTTGTGTGCTCTTGTTTCATCCCTGTAATAACGTTCGTTTCCAGGATCGCATTGTATCAATGACACTTGATAAGGAATACGACGTTGCTGTGGAAGCCATTCGATTAGTCACACTAATACTTCAGTGAGTATTTTTTAAAATTCCCTCTGAAAGTTACCTAAACCAGTACTATGTAGTTAAGCTTCTTCACCTGTGCTGTGAACTCACTATATTACTTTACATTTACTATTAAGTTGAACTGAATATGTAATATTATAGTTACAAAGCTAAAATAAAATACTAGATCTCCTGGAAATACAATAGGTGAAGTGATTTATTGAGGCTGTTTGTTTTGGTGCATTTACTGTTGAGGAAAAATGCCAGTGGATATTTATACCATTTGCCAGGGGCAAAATGATTGTCTTTCCCAAAACACGTGGTTATATCTGCAGAAATGACTTCAGTAGTAACTAAAAAAGGTCTTGTGTTAGGAGATTTCATTATCTAGCATAGCTGAAAACAGAGTCATCTAGCAAATAAACTGACAGAGGGAAGATGCTATCTTTAATACCCTGATTGGGGTTATGGAGAGGAAGTGCTGGTGACCTGCAGTTTAAAACACTTGGCCATGCAGGATATGTGCTTCCAGGTCCTGGCTTTTCCTTACACAGGTACAGTGGCATCCCTGATACAAAGTTCCATTCTGTGTGTAATCATCCCTTGCCTACACTGCTTGAAACAATATGTCTCTAAGGGCAAGCTGATTACAGCAAGCTCCTGTATGTGCTGCTGGAGGAACTTGTCCTAAGCTCACTGAAATGTGCTACAAACATATGTAGAATTCCTGCATCATATTTTATACTCATTCACCCCACTTTCTGGACATGCAGAAATTGGATGAAAGATTAGACTAGCATTTCTTCATGATAAAAAAAAAAAAAAAGTATAGGCTTTATTTATTTATTTATTTTTTACCTGGGGTAACACTGCTTTGCAGATATTGTAATATTTGACTTGTTAAGAAGGAGAATCTCTTCTTTTCTGTTTTTAAAGCAAACATTATAAATATGATCACAAACAAGATGTAGAACATATCTTTTTCCTTTGTTATTAGGATCATTTGGAAGTACAGTAAGATTCCTAAAGCAAAATTGTTCAGTTCACCCTTTTTCCTGCCCTGTTTTCTCTTTGGTTGTGTGATTAAAACATAGATAGGTGCAAGCTGATACACTTAGGAGCTGAAGGATATGGGTCACATCAAACAGCACAGGGCAGTATTCTGGCAGGTAGGAGCTTTGAAAAGATGTTATGAACAATTATGATGGGGAATGACCACTTAAAAATAATTGTAAACAAACAAACAAAAACAAAAAAAAAAAACAAAAACCAAATGAGGCGTATAAAGTCCTGTCATGGCGATGTTTCTGATGAACACTGACTAAGCACAGAGAGAAGTAATACTATTCCTATATGCAGTGTCAGCGATATCGTTGATAGAACATACTTACAGTTCCATTATCTGTCACATTTTTCAAGAATACTGCTGAAAAGTGAAAATTTTCCTGTATTTCATAAAAGCACACACTCAAAATCTGTCTTAAGTTTAGAATTTGCAGAAGTTTGCACTTGCAGCCAGGAAGGCCAACTGAGTTCTGGGCTGCGTTAAAAAGGGGTGGCCAGCAGGAAGATGGAGGTGATTGTCCCCCTTACTCAGCTCTTGTGAGGCCCCATCTGCAGAACTGCATCCAGGCATGGGGGCCCCAGCACAGGAAGGACGTGGAGCTCTTGGAGTGGGTCCAGAGGAGGGCACTGAGATGGTCAGAGGGCTGGAGCACCTCTCCTGTGAGGAAAGGTTGAGGGAACTGAGCTTGTTTAGCTTGGAGAAGAGAAGGCTCTGGGGAGACCTCATTGTGGCCTTCCAGTACTTGAAGGGAGCATATAAACAGGAGGGGGAATGGCTGTTTATGAGGGTGGATGGTGACAGGACAAGGGGGAATGGTGTTAAACTGAGACGTGGGAGGTTTAGGTTGGATATTAGGAGGAAGTTTTTCACCCAGAGGGTGGTGAGGCACTGGAACAGGTTGCCCAAGGAGGCTGTGGATGCCTCATCCCTGCAGGCATTCGAGGCCAGGCTGGATGTGGCTCTGGGCAGCCTGGTCTGCTGGTTGGTGACCCTGCACATAGCAGGGGGTTGGAACTGGATGAGCATTGTGGTCCTTTGCAACCCAGGCCATTCTGTAATTCTATGGAGCTCCAGCTATGTTGTTAACCCAAGAAGAGTAAAAGTTGACTTGTTATTGTCAACAAATAATTACAGAAAATAAACTTTCAATCATTTTTGAATCCAGCACAGCATGGTATGATCAGATTCCTTTCCTTGATATTGAAAATGAGTGTATATAGTCAGCACAGTAACTGCTGTAAGAGTGATGGATGTTTTATTTTATCAGCATTATTGTAGTTCTAAACCCACATCATGGTTCAAACTTGAAGTGATTATATGTTGATTTTTATTGGTACATGCACAGTGCTAGTTGTCCCCCACTCTGTGATCTAAACTGTGATTTAATTTTCTGCTGCCTTTGTCCAGTGAATTTCTGCAACTTCTGTATTGGAGGCAATTTTACCACCTAGCCTGGCCTGCCCTCTCAGCAGGAATTGGGAATAACAAGTGTTTGGTATCCTGCAGCATACATACTGTAGTTAGTGTGATGGTAATTAAGTTGGCAAGACTTGTAAGCAGTGATGAATTTTTTTACATTAATTACTGTATATGCTGATACAACTGAGAGAAGAACATCAGACAGATTTTCAGTCTTACAAGGCCTTTAAATGTTTCTGTATTTGAAATCAAACCAAAAATCTTTGAAGTCAGTTCCTCTGCCTAGGATTTTGTTCAAAGGAAACAGTCTTGTAGCTGTCAGAAGTAAATTATGGGAGGTAAGGGGATTAAAACTAAACATCTGTTTCAGTTCAGTGTTGCTTTTTGCCTGTTTCAGTGGAAGTGAAGAAGCTCTGTCAAATGAAGACTGTGAGAATGTTTATCACTTAGTGTATTCGGCACACCGGCCTGTTGCAGTAGCAGCTGGAGAATTCCTTCATAAAAAGTAAGTTATCCATTAACCTGGAAGAAGCCCAGATCGTGAAATGCTCCCTGGCAGTGGCAGTGTCAAAAGGAAAACAAGCAGTTGGCCAAAATACACCAATATTAGCAAGTTAGGTGTTTAATTTAAAACACAGCCTTATGCTCCTGTTTAAAATAAAAACCTAAAAACTTGAGGAAATTGGATTTCCCTTTATCTTGCTCTGACATCCAGGTAACTATACTAACTCCTCACAGCCTTTCACCCTCAGCAAGTTTGCTGACGACACTGAGCTGAGTGGTGCGGTCGACACGAAGGAAGGGATGCCATTCAGAGGGACCTCGAGAGGCTAGAAAGGTGGGCCTGGTGAACCTGATGAGGTTCAACACGGCAAAGTGCAGAGTTTTGCACTTGGGCCGGAGGAATGCCAGGCAT